GGGCAGGCGGCTTGCTATTAAAGGGGAACCGGAATTCTAAAATCTGTGAGTAAGTTTGATTCAACGAAGCAACGTAGCCATTGCCTGCACACGACGGGCTTCTGAACAAGACTGCTGGTGAAAATAAAGCAGAACAGATTGGAAGCCTTTGGGCAAAATTCCCTTCTCATGACCGTACTGTTATTATATAATTATTCGAGAGAAGTTTAGATCAGGTGTCCAAGGGAAAGGCGTTTGTATCCACATTCACATTCAGTACGTCTCCATCTTGTAATGTGGGCGCATGTCAGATAGGAAAAACAACAAGGCACAACTGTGAAATGAACCACTTTGGGTTAGGTGTCACGGGGCAGAGTTGCTGCTGGATCTCAGGTGTGGTAGTAATCATTGCTCTGATCCCTGGAAGAGACAAGAGGGACATACATTCTCTAAGATCTAGGCCCACAGGAAGCAGGAAAAACAGGAGGTGCTAGCCCTGACCTGGATAGTCCAAGCAACCCCGATCTTGTCAGAACTTGGAAGTTAAGCAGGGCTGAGTCTGGCAAGTACTTGGATGGGAGACTAGGGCCAGGACGCACAGGCAGCCAATAGCAAGCCACCTCTCTGAAACATCTGAGCCCCACTAGGGGTCGCCAGAAGTCAACCATGACTTCCAGGCGCGCGCGCACACACACACACACACACACACACACACACAAATACTCACTGAAAAAAAGAGAAACAGGATGTGCTTTTACACCTGAAGACGTTTCTGGGCCAAACTACACAGGACACCTGACACGAATTGGGTCAGATATACAAGGGGAGGGGGGGGGAAACCCACTTTAAACGGCACTTGTTTGCTTGGCACTGTGTGGTGTTCCCTCTAAGCTGAGTTAATGTGAGCTGGCTCACAGTTTTGTAGCCGTTGGCTCACACATTTTTGTCTCATCTCAGGAAGTGTAGTGTATCCAGCCCTGACATGGCCGGGCATGTCCGGACTTGTCCAGGGACAAACATCAAGCTTCGCGCCTAAAGACAATGGTCCAGGAGGATCCTAGCCCGCCCTATCAGAGGGCTAGGTCCCAGACTGTGAGGCCAATAGGTCTCTCGGTCACTGTAAATAGCCTATCGGGAAGTGGGGTGTGTGTTGTGGTGGTGGGTTCTGAGGGAATATAAGCCGGCCTGCGAGCCGGCCAAAGCGTCTTGTTCCTGACTGAATAAAATATTCTTTGCTGAATCACTCTCCATCTGCATACTTTTCAGGAAGGATGGCTCCAGAGCAAACTAATTGATGCAGTGGCCAAATCGCTCGCTCACAACTTTAATGCCAGTAGCTCACAAAGGAGAATTTTTGCTCACAAGACTCCACAGCTTAGAGGAAGCATCGACTGTGAGGGAATGCTGTGGGGGGGCATAAGGAACTTCCCGTTTTCTTGTGCTGTTCTTGTCAGTGGAAATGGCAATGGGGTGGGGGTGTTTCTCTCCTTACGTGCGAAAAGAATGCAGGAAGGAAACCGGAAGTGATCTCACAACATTATGCAGCACCTATTTTTGAGGTCGCTGCCCCCTCGTTGATTCCGGGTAGCGTTGCCAGCCTCCAGGTGGTGGCTATAGATCACCTGGGATGACAACTGATCTCCAGGAGACAGAGAGCAGGTCACCTGGAGGAAACGGGCACTTTGGAAGGGGGACTCTGTGGCATTATACCCCACTGAAGTCCCTCCCCTCCCCAAATCCTGCCCTCCTCAGGCTCCATCCCCAAAATCTCCAGGTATTTCCTAACCTAGAGCTGGCAACCCTATTTCTGAGGGCTGGCACGTAGCCCTTGCCAGGAATGAGGTTTTGAGTGCGGAGAAAGATGTGAATTAAACAGGAGTATGAATTAAAGGCCTGAGGGGATATCAGATCTTTGGCGTTTGGAGAACTGAGTGTTCTGAGGCGCTACTGTAGGAAAGCAGGGTTTGCTGGATTTAGAGCGTAACCAAGTGGAGCAGAAAGTGCTGTGCTGTGCTGATACGTTACAAACCTGCCTGTGGAAGTGTTCTCCTGAGGCACGTACAGTTTGAAGCCTAACGTCCCACCACAACGCCTGGTTAAATGTTACTATTTACCTCAGCTCGTGCGTTTTTATTGGGTAAACTTTGTTCTTGGTTCGCTTTTGAAAAGCAAACCATCTTGTCCCTGTCAGTTTTACCTCAGTTATCGATCCGGGCTTGGGTGGGCTTTTACTCAGACTCAGGTCCGATGCCCTTGAATTGTTTGTCTGTTTTAATTGCCCTCTGGATCCCTGGTAAAGTGGACTATATAGGAAATGGTATTGTGATGGAGAAAATTTGTCCCACCGCCTATGGGAGCTGCCTCATTGGGGAAATATAATGTGTATCCCATCGATATATGAGGAGGAAAAGACCGTGTTGGCCACGATCACTACTTTGTTTGGATCATCTTAAGTTAATGTATGGGTTGTTTTTTCTAAAGTAAAACCTCAGTATTCAGGTTAAATTGCCGTGTTGGCACTTTGCGATAAATAAGTGGGTTTTGGGTCGCAGTTTGGGCACTCGGTCTCTAAAAGGTTCGCCATCACTGTCCTATGCCCTTGATTTGTTTGTCTGTTTTAATTGCCCTCTGGAACCCTGGTGAAGTGGACTATATAGGAAATGGTATTGTGATGGAGGGGGAAATCCTGTTGGGTGGCCTCGAGCTCCCAGAAAATTTGTCCCACAGCCTATGGGAGCTGCCTCATTGGGGAAATATAATGTGTATCCCATCGATATATGAGGAGGAAAAGACCGTGTTGGCCACGATCACACGCACAATTAGCCCCGCCATAGGTGGGAATGCCAGGCGGATTTAAAGGGCGCGATCGGACACGAACATCTGGGAAGCACCCCGCACCCAACGGCAAACCGTTTTGCTCCACCACAGAAGCAGAGTAAAAAGACACTGGAGGAAAATCCGGTAGTAAACGGGTTGTGACGAGCCACAGACAGAGTTTCCCGTGCCTGATTGCTCCAGTGCGCTCTCATGGCATCGGGATCAGGCCATCCCGACTCTGTGCCGTTTCCACACACACCCCTTCTCGGTATGCACATCATCACAAGCGCCAAAGGGAGACCTCAGTGTAGAGATGCAATTCATCAATTCCTCGTGTAAGCGCATCGGAAACAAACAGCAAAAAACAAAAAATTTCAAGGACTGTGATTGCGCAACTGCGGGTCAAATTCCTCCGGAAGAAATAGCCTCGCTCCCCCCCCCGCTTTATCTCATGCATGTGACCGCCCCGTTGAGTCACAAATGACTCATGGCGACCCCTTCCATGAGGCATTCCAGATAAGACGAGCACAAACGGTTTGCCGTTGCCTTCATCTGCAAAACAGCCCCTTGTCTTCCCTGGTTGTCTCCCATCTAAGTATTGACGGTGGCCAACTCTACTGGGCTAATCAGGTTGCTAGAAGAAAAATGTGTCATCAAGTCACAACTGATTTATGGGTACCGCTTTCATGGCACACTCCGGGCAAGAGAAGAGCAGAAGTGGTCTGTCATTGCCTTCCTCTGCATAGCAAACCCAGTCTTCCTTGGTGGTCTACCATCCAAGTACTAACCATAGGCAACCCTGCTTAGCTCCCCAGCTCTGACGAGCCTTGGATAAGCTGGACTATTCGGGAGCCCTCAACAAAGCAAATAACACCCCTTTATCCCATTTTAGTTCAGGAACAGCATGGGGTGAAGACACTTTCTCCCTATAAGATGATCAAATCGGGCCCCTATGCGCATGGAAATTAACTTCTGAGCCTGGAACTTGCAACACGTATCGGGTTTCACTAGCTGTAAAGAGGATCCAGTGAAAATCATAATGTAGTTAGGATAAAAGTAAGACAGAGAGCTATTGGCATATTTGTTTTATCTCTTTATATTGTTGTTAAGGCTCATTTGCTTCTGTTATGTTAGTATGGGGGGGGAATTGGAAACGTCCCTTTCTTCCACCTACGAGCATTTACCCTGCTGTCTTCTATCTGTCTTGCCTCTGCATAGAGAAGGGGTCCCCAACCTTTTAGAGCCTTTGGGCACCTTCAGAATTCTGACACAAAATGGCTACCATGGAAGGCAGAGCCAGCCACGATATGCCTGCAGCAGCATACGTGAAAATTTGTCCTGCTGCTTCAAACCAATATGGCTGCCCACCTGATTGATCACAAGAGTGAACTTCCTTGTGCTGGGGTGGCAGCTGCTGCCAAAGCAACATTTAAAAAAAACCTGCACAGCCAATCAAATCTCCAGTGGCCAGTAGGGTTGCCGGGTGAGTCAGACAAACATGTGGGGGGCTTAACAGGAGGTTCCAGGAGATGGGAGGGAGGCTCTGGGAGGGAAGAAGCACGACTGAACTCTGAAGCGAGTTCCAGGTGAGCTGCTGTCACATTTAAAGGGACTGCGTTCCTTTTAAATGTTTTCCCTCCATTGGAAACAACGGCGGATGGGGGCACCTTCTTTTGGGGCTCATAGAATTGGACCCCCCCCGGTCCAATCTTTTTGAAACTTGGGGATTTATTGAGGAGAGGCAGCCATGCTGAAAATTTGGCACCTCTACCCACAGAGCCCCAGATACCCACAGATCAATTCTCCATTATACCCTATGGGGACTGGTCTCCATAGGGTATAATGGAGTGCCCAGCAGCTATCCCCCCTCCCTTTCTGATAGCCCTGAAGCAGGGGGAGGGGCTCCAAACCAGGGGATCCCCTGCCCCCAACTGGGGATTGGCAACCCTAATGGTCAGCCAGAAGCCTTGATGATTTCCCATTTCCCCAGCTGACCCCACCCACTGTCTAAAAACACTTGGCAGGCACCATGTTGGGGAACCCTGATGTAGAGAATGAACACCAATGCCATTTTCTGGATTGTACCTCTTTGGCTGGCAACCCTCCAAATGAAACTTGGAAAGCCTAAGGGCCAAATTGGACAATACGTGTGATGCATGTTACACTGGGGGCCCCACCTGATTTTCAGTCACATGTGAGTTCAGGGAACTAATGTTTCCAAGCACTCTGGACCCAAATTGACTGGGGAGTGCAGTAAGGAGGGCCTTCAGCCTTCCCCCCTGCTCTGTTTTCCCACGCAAGAACAGCCACGGGAGGAAAATGTTTGCCCTGATGTGGGTTCCATACGCACTGGCTGCAGCACACGGACCCCATGTCCATTTCAGCTTGAGACAACAGCATGGAGGGGAGGCTGAATCTGATTCTGGCCGTGGAGCACATGTGAACGTTAATTCCCCAAGCTCACATGTGACTGCAAGCCAAGTCAGGGGGCCCCCAACCAGGTGCACACCGCATATATTGCCTACTTTGGTCATGAGGCCATGTGCCCCTTGGCTGGATGCCTTGGTACTTACCAGGGGTCATTTCCTGCAGGAGCATACAGGAGCGGAGCTCCGGCAGTAAAGAGCCCAGGGGGTGGGCACATGCAAGAAGCCCCACCCCCTGCTCCCAGCAGCCCTCAGTCATGGCAAGAACTGGTCCAAAACAGTCCAGTGGCACCTTTAAGTCCAAGTTTTGTTCAGGTACGAGCTCTCCCTCCTCTGCGAGGACAGATCTGCATGTTCCTCCCCCTCCCCAATAGCTAGCAATCCAAAACAGTCCCGTGGAGCCTGAGCGGTGGGTGTTGCCTTCTGACACACTTCCGGTGATGTCAGGGGGTGTGGCATACGCAAATAAGTTATACTAATGAGTTATGCTAATGAGCTCCTGCACCTCCTTTTCTACGAGGTGACCCCTGGGACTTACTTACCTTTGACACTGGCAAGTCCTCTTTGCAAGCAAATGTTGCTTTGCCTGGGCCATCCTCTCCATCCGTCGCTACCGAAAGAAGGGAAAACAAGCGTTTCTTCCACATTCTCTTATGCTCTTTCCAGTCGTTCCCCCCCCCCGCCAACAGCTTCTGCATCTGGCTCAGACTTTCTGCCTCCCCTTTTCCCATCGTGGACACCCAAAGAGACTCACCTTTTTCCGCTTGACAGCTATGTAGGTGAACAGGCACACGCTTAGGAGGATCAGCAGCAACAGGGGTACGCCGACTCCCAAGGCCAGGCCAGGAAGTGGGAAACCAGTCTGCTCCGTGGCCTCCTCTGCAGAAAAAGGTGGAGGTGAAACCTAGGGATGTCAACCTCCAGGTGGGGCCTGGGGATCTCCTGGAAGTACTACTGATCTCCAGAGTACAGACATCAGTTCCCCTGGAGGAAAGGGATGCTCTGGAAGGTGGACTCTATACCCCACTGGAGGTCCCTCCCCTCTTCAAGCCCTGCCCTTCCTCAGGCTCCACCCCCAAATATCCAGGAATTTCCTAACTCGGAGTTGGCAACCCTAGCAAGGACAAGATGAGCGGGGCGCACTGATTGTGCGGCCCACGTGTGTCTGACAAAGGGGCGCCTGGCCCACGGAAGCCTCGGCGAGCATAAATGTCACGTCTTTGCAATTTTTCATTGCATTGCTGCTGGGCGCCTTGAATCTAAGATGGGATATAAGTATCTTAAATGAGATCACTATAACTGTGGCACGTTCAGGTTCCCTGAGATGTGGGGGTTGCAACGGGTGAATGCCGCTACTCCCCTCCGTTCATACCCACGGTGTAGTTCACGCTGATCTTCTCTTCCTTCCCAACGATGAGACTGCAGGTCTGCTGCCCTGCCTTTTGGATTGTGAGGCAGTGGGGAACGTCTCTGCTTATGTTCACAGCATCCCAGCGCAACACAGCCCCGGGCGGGAGAGGAGCGGAGATGCTGCAGCAAAGTTTCACCGCGTCTTCTTTAGGGAGTGGTCCTGGGGGGCTGGCAGAGACTGTAGGGAAGACCACAAAGGAAAATGCACAGGGAAATCATGGCTTGGGTCCGGCCAGCTTTTCTACTCAATCTTAGCCCACACCCCTTCCTTATTAAGGCCCCCGTTCCATGTGGCTTTTGTCCAATGAGGTCCCATGATCTCAAACATAGGTTTTGCTGGAAGTTCCAGATGCGATGTTCCCTGTCTCAGACCTCCAGACTGAGGGGCAAGAGAGACTAGATAGCTAGATAGGCACCCAGACCTTTCTTCCTGTCTTTACTCTTCTGCCACTGTCCTCCAGATTGTGTTCTCAGGGACCATTTCCCCTTCCTTCTTCTCTCTCACTCTCTTGAAGACCAGCTCTCTCCCTGCACGCACCAAGAGAGAGACATGCGGTCCTCTCTTGGCACCATGAGGCAGAAGGGCCTCTCGCCATCTGCTTCCATCCTTTAGCTAGTAAGTTTAGTATTCTATCCTCCAGGGCTCTTTTTGTAGCAGGAACTCCTTTGCATATTAGGCGACACACCCCTAATGTAGCCAATCCTCCAAGAGCTTACAGAGCTCTTCTTACAGGAGCTACTGTAAGCTCTTGGAGGATCGACTACATTAGGGGTGTGTCACCTAATATGCAAAGGAGTTCCTGCTACAAAAAGAGTCCGACTTTCCTACCCAAAGTGTACTTCTCAACTAGAGAGAGAGAGGAATTCTCTTCTAAACTTATAACGTGGCTCTGTGTAGCTTTGTAAGCCGAGTAACCTGGCAAAGGGACGCTGCTGCGTTTGTTGCTTTCCTTAAGCACTAACTAAAGGTGACTGAACCAACCACACCAGTTAACCTCAATAGATTTTTTGGGGGGGCCAAAGGGGGATGGATCCCTTCCTCCTTTGCTCACCAGCAGGGAAAGTGGTTGGATCCAGCCCTCCTCGCGCAAGGGCCAAAACAGACTAGGAAGCATCGTCTTTGGGGTTGCCGTTTTTGGTCAATGACACCTGAGCTCGATTGCGCACACAGACCTCAGCTACACGCTAGCTAGGCTTGCCAAGCCCCCGCTGGGGGCCCACGCCACCCGGACGTGATGTCATCACACCGGGGGTGTCACCGGGCAATGCTCTACCAGTTGCCCCAAAAACTCTATAGACTGGTAGAGCATCGCCCGGTGACGCCCCCGGTGTGATGACGTCACTTCCAGGTGGCGTCACAGCGGCGCATGCGCATGAATGTTCCAGGTGGGGACGAGGACTCCCCTGCCGCATGAGGTAAGTGACTTGGCAACCCTATCGCTAACTCTGCTCACAAGTTACAGCACGGTCCCATGCAATCCGTGTGCAGCGCACACTTGATTGGCCTTTACACCGTGTGTTGAGTCATTTTCATGCTGCAGTCTGTGCACGTACAGAAGAAGAAGAAGAAGAGATTGGATTTATACCCCGCCCTTCACTCAGAGTCTCGGAGTGGCTTACAAACTCCTTTCCCTTCCCCTCCCCATAACAGACGTCCTGTGAGGTAGGTGGGGCTGAGAGAGCTCTTGAGAGAACTGCTCTTTCAAGAACAGCTCTGAGAGAACTATGGCTTGCCCAGGGTCATCCAGCAGGTGCAAGTGGAGGAGTGGGGAATCAAACCCGGTTCTCCCAGATTAGAGTCTGCGCACTTAGCCACTACACCAAACTGGCTCTCTACATGATTCAAAGCTCGTGTAACTCAAAGGCACTTGCCCCATGTTGCATTTGTAAAGTGAAGGCATAACAGCCCTTTCTTACAAACAGCTGTGAACAGGGCTACAGAGAACTTCAGATGTGTGGCTGTGTGGGTCTGCGGCAGAGGAGTGAGCTTCGAGTCCAGGAGCACCTTTGAGACCAACAGACATTTCAGGGTGTCTGGCTTTCAAGAGTCAAAGTTCCCTTCGTCAGATACGTATCTGGCAAGGGGGAGCGCTGACTCTCAAGAGCTGTTGAGGTTTCTCTCCTGCTTCTTTTAAGTAAAGTAAAGGTAAAGGTTCCCTTGCTCGAAAGCCAGTTGAATCCGACTCTAGGGTTGCGGTGCTCATCTCCGTTTCCAAGCCGAAGAGCCAGCGCTGTCCGAAGACGTTTCCGTGGTCATGTGGCCGGCATGACTAAACACCAAGGCGCCCAGAACGCTGTTCCCTTCCCACCAAAGTGGTACCTGTTTATCTACTTGCAGTTTCTTGCTTTCGAACTGCTAGGTTGGCAGGAACTGGGGCCAGGGAAGGGCGCTCACTCCATTACATGGCACTCAGGTCTCGAGCTGCCGAACTGCAGACCTTGTGGTCTGCAGCTCAGCGTCTTAACCTCTGAGCCACAAGGTTCCTCCCCCCCCCTTTTGCAAATGTAGCTGTCAGGATTGCTTCACTAAAGAGGAGAGCGATCTGCAAGAGGGAGAGGGAGGGAGGGAAAGATGTGAGTGTATGCAGGAATACAAGCCGGCCTCGCACCGATTAAGTGATCTCTTTTCGTTCCGACGTAATCAATAAATGTGAGCTGATTTCACAATGCTACGCCTGGAACTCCACTACTTTCCAGTAGCCCTAGAGTCAACTGCAGATTGCTACAAAGGTCAGAGAAGTGAAGACTCTCCCTTAATTAGCTAATTCTAGCTGAGAACAGCCCTGGCCTGGATGTCCCAGGCTAGTCCAGTCTCATCAGATCTCGGAAGCAGAGCAGGGTCAGCCCTGGTTAGTACTTGGATGGGAGATCAGTAGAGTCACTTCCAATGTTCCCTCTAAGCTGTGGAGTCTTGTGAGCAAAAATTCCGCTTTGTGAGCTACTGGCATTAAAGCTGTGAGCGGGCGTTTTTTACTGCATAATTTAGTTTGCTCTTGATCCATCCTTCCTGAGCTAAGACAAAAAAGTGTGAGCCAGAGGCTAAAAAACTGTGAGCTAGCTCACACTAACTCAGCCTAGAGGGAACACTGGTCACTTCATAGAGGCAGGCAATGGCAAACCACCCTGCCCTGACTCCCTCTTGCCTTGAAAACGCCACCAGAACTCGCTTTAAAACCATCTTGGTTTTATGGTTCGGAGTGAGTATCGGAGCACCGATTTATTTTATTTTTACTAATTTTACTAATTGTACCATGCTGTATCATTGTATTTTTATACTGTTTTCATTGTTTGAATTTGGCATTTATTTTTTTTAATATAAATAGCATTTTTATTGAGTTTTATATATTTTCACATCCTGTATTACAGGATGCACACAGTATCTTTCAACAACATCTGATAAACAAGAAGAGGAATGTTATCCATACGCACATTACTTGTCCATAAAACACAGAGTCTCTATATTTCTGAGGTAGTGCATACAATCGGGGTTGACAAGCCGTAAGATATTCAAAAAAACACAAACCATTTTTCAAAATAAAATTATTAAAAAACCTTTCGGATTGTCAAAAGCTATTAATTTCACAGCGATTTTAGCTGAAACATGTTAGCTGCCCTGAGCCTTCGGGGAAGGCGAGACACAAACCTAAGGAATAAATCAGAGGTCATTTCGGGGGGGGGGGGATCGCGGGGGATCGCAGTTCCCCCGGGGGAGGTACGGGGGGCGGGGCACATGA